GAGAGAGAGAGAGAGAGAGAGAGAGAGAGGGGGAAGCGAGAGGTAGTAAAACCTGGCATACGTCGCACCGGGGGCCTTGGTCGGAACAAGGGTGGTGGAGAGAAAAACGGCGGTGTTTGCCGGCGAGTTTGTTGGCGTGATGCACTCTCTGATCGCAGGCGGAGCAGAGGGCGGCCTCATCCGCACAGCAAAACACTGACGCCTCTGCTTTGTTGCAGACGTCGCACTGTATCTTCATGTCCACCCTTTCTATAGAGAGAGAGAGACAGAGGAGGTGGCCTCTGAAAGTTGAGAGGGCTCGGGTTATTGTAGTGAGGGAGAGAGAGAGCAGGGAGACCCACGGTCAGGGCTGGAGCATGGGCGTGGCGTGTTAAGAGAGCGCCAGAAAAGAGAAAAAAAAGGGGAGATGTGGACTCTCTCTCTCTCTCTCTTCTTTTTGGTTTCCTTTCTCTCTCTTCTGTGCCTCGATGAAAAATAGTGAGTGAAACATAAAATAAACATTGTGCCCAATCCCGGGCTTTATGAAAATAAAATAAGCACGAAGTTTTTATAAAACCTAGAACAAAATAAAACTTCAACTCAATTCCTCATTCGGAAAATATTTCGATAATAGAAATTTTCATGATAGATCTAAAATTAATTTCCAACATCGATAATAAAAATTTGAAATTCAAATTATGATACAGATCTTGTATATCTATAGTATTTACTTTTTTAACTGAAATAGAAGGCTTAGATAATTTATTATAATATATATTATTTTTAAAATTTAATTATTATTTTTAAACAACCATAATGTCCAAAACGAGATGGATGTAATGGTTTTTTAATTCCTTTTATTGGATGAGTTATAAAGTGAGACTTTATTGCAGCACTATCAAACTATTTTTCAATAAATAAATGAAGTAAAGGAGTTGGGAATGAAGAAGGCCGAAATGGGCAAGTAGGCAGCGGGCACAAGGAGACGGTGAGCATCGTTGTCTGTGTATTATTCAAAGCGGAGATAATGGATTCTGTGATCTTTTTTGTGGGATTTTCGTGCTTCCAAGTTAGAAAGAACTACCCGTCCTCTCTCCCCCTCATTCTCTCTCTTCTTCGAACTACTAATTTTACCACCGACCTTGTTACCGAGGTAAAGGGGGGGGGGCAATGGACCGGACCTGACTCGGGACTTAGAGAGGCGGACACGATTGGGTTTGGGTTCAAAAATTAGACCCAGCGGGTTGGGTTTAGTTCTAAAATCTTGAACTCAAATACTATTCGGATTTGGATATGAGCCTAATAATATTTTTTGTATTCCAATTTAGAAAATATATTTAAATATTATTAAATACATAGATATTTGAATTTTTGGGTCGGGTCCGATCCGCTGGTGAATTCACATCCGGTCAAGTTTGAGTTTGGATCTGCGTCCCATATTATTTTTCAAATCCGGGTTCAAGTCCTGCCCAACCCAAACAAGGGTCTCTCTCTCCCTTCTTTCTTTCGCGCTTTCTATATTCATCCAAATGCAAATATAGTGAACCCTCTCTTCAAGTAAATAGTGAACCCAAATGTAGACTTTCTCACAATGTTCATGAAATTGGTCGGGTCGACGCGGACCCAGGTGGGTTGCTTGGACTTACATATTATAAAATGGTTTTTGATGGAGATTTAAAAAAAAAATATTACGAATACAAAAAATAAGAAATTAATTTGTACTTTCTTTAAATTTTCTAACATTTTGGCAAAGTTTAGAAAGTGTTTTTGGCTAGAATAATTATTTTCTACTTTTCCTCTTCTTTCGATTATTTCTAAAATACCCTAGTCACAAATTGATTTTCCAAATTCTAAATTTTTTACTACTTTTTTAACCTTATTTAGATGTATTTTTATTTAATTTTAGTTTAAACATTTTTATTTTTTTTAGTGATTTACGTACGGGCCCTGAAGCCGCCTCATATACTTCCCAACGCATACATAATTGACTAAATATCGAGCTTACCCAGTAAGGAGGGAAAGAAGCCACTATGAACTTTAGTTGCTCGACCTACATTGGTAAGGACAGCCAGGGTAATTTTATATAAAAAGAAATTTAAAATACAAAATGCTTCATTTATTGGTGGAAATTACAAATAAAGTCAGTCAACCTATAATTTTTTTTTTTTTTTGGTTTTTTCGTTAGTAGGACACTGTCCTAAACCTTGGGGCGCTACCCTACTAACGAAAAAACTATAAAAAAATTGAAAAATTAAAATTCAGACCAAAGATTCTATCTTTAGTCTAAGGGACAATTTTGAAAAAAAAAAAAGAGTAGATTGACTGATCTTCTTTGTAATTTTTACATACAAATAAAACATTTTCTATTTTTTTAAAAAAAAATATTTAAAGCCCTTACGTAAATCACTCTTTTTTCTTTTTAACTTTTTTTTTTGGGTCCTATTCACGACCCGTGTGTTTTCGTACACTATTTTCTCTCTCTATACATATCCGTTTCAAATTGTTTCTATCTCAAACTTTCATTTTTTGGCATTTTCTCTCTCTCTCTCTTTGTTTCTATCTCAAACTTTCATTTTTTTTTATTTTTTATTTTGTATTTTGGCATTTTCTGTCTTTCTCTCTCTTAAAACTCTAGACTTCGCTCTTGGCGTGATGCGAGCTCTCAGGGTCGATATGCTTATGGGCAGGCCTGACTCGCAGGGCCTGTCATGTTAGGAACACCCACTTCACCCAATCTTCTTATTGCATATTCTCAAGGATATTGCATCTATCTCTTTCTATAAAATAGCGGTGCGTCACACACATATCAACCATGTCGGGTCCCCCATGTTTAGTGCTAATCTCTACAATTTATCAATGCGTATTTATTGCAAAAGGATCATGAACTAGTGCCATCCGGATTGGATTAGCTGACGAAATAGTGAAGGGTCTAGTCTAATGAAAATTATTTGATTATGCTGGATTGAATTTTTGAAAACCAAATGAAAATGAAAAATAATAGTGTAAGCATAAGTATTTAAAAACTGGGGTGTGGTTTGTATGATGAGGTTGCAACTTTAAGATATCAAATTAAGGCATGCCTCTAAATTTTATCACAAGATGTAATTTGGTGCCAAAAATTGTTAGGATGACCTGAAAATCTATTTTTGTTTCTATGATATTTTAAATTCCAAAAATGGTTCAAATCAAGTAGATCTATAAACACATAAAATTCTTTCGAATGAACCGTCCAAATAATGTGTTGTAATATGCACTATTTTTTAGATTTGAAGTTTGTTTATTTTTTTTTACACCCATCCATTTCGATGTCAAGATGATCAATTAAAGGGTTTATCAATATCAAAACGACATTTTTCGATGGATTTTTTAGTTGCACATTAAGTTTACATTTTAAGGTTGCAACCTTATATAAATTTTTTTTAAAAAAATACAATTTTGTTTAACTAGATTAACCAGTCAAAATCAATAAGTTAAACACACTGAAACCAATCAAACACTAATTCTGACATGTTTTCAATTAAATCAAACCGATCAAACACTAATTCTGACATGTTTTCAATTAAATCAAAGTTTTACTTATGATTTAGAGTGGCCGAGGTATCTCACTAGTCGGATTAAGGGCGCGTTTTGATTTCTCCGTAAAAAGCACGGAGAAAACACGTTCATGTGAAATCCACACTTTACCTACGTTTGGTTGGAGCAAAACGTTGAAAATGTCCTTGTGAATTGTTTCCTCGTTAAGTGCAAGGGTGCAGTTAGCATACGGATGTATCTTTGAAATTTTATCATAGTATATAATTTTGATGTAAAGCGTTTTTAGGATTATCTCAAAATGTATTTTTATATCTAATTATAAAATTTTAAATTTAAAAAATGGTTAAAATTAAGTAGATTTATAAGCATATAAAAATCTTGAAAATAGATAGTGTAGATAATATATTGTAAAATGCACTATTTTTTATACTTAAAATCTTTTTATTTTCATGGTCATACATCTCGATGTCGAGATGATCAATCAAAAGGTTTTTCAACAATAAAACTACCTTTTCCAATAAATTTTTGAGATGCATATGTAGTTCTACATTATAAGGTTGCATCCTTATATAAACATTTTCCTAAGTTGAAATAACATTTCCGAGAAAGAACCCCCACCGGAGCCAAAATTTTTATTTCATTTTGGCTTAGTACAAGTAACTTGGCCTAAGTAGGGATGAATACTGTGGCAGTAAAAATAAAAGTAAACAAAATAAAAAAAATTAAAAAGAAGAAATATATATTTAAAGTAAGATGAAGTAAAATACATTGAAATGAGGCTTAAAGAGAAGTAAAAAAATTTTGAAAAATCAATTTTTGACGAGGGCTATTTTTGGAGTGATATGGTGAAAGCACTTTCCAATCTTTACCATAAATGATAGAAAATACGACAAACAAATTCGTTAAATTTCTTATTTTTTAGATTTTATATACACGTTTTTTATTTTTTTTAATATCCCCTGTGACCCCCCATGCGGAAAACTGAGAGTCACGAGGGTGGCGAGGCCGAACACTAGGAACTCAAAACGAGTCGTCAAAGACTGTTCGAGCCGTCCGTCGCTCTCTTTCCCTACGATACAAGGTTCCTCTCCCTCTCCCTCTCCCTCTCCCTCTCAAAAATCCCTTCTCGCCATCTCTTTCTCATTCTGACATGGCAACAGTTTATCTGTTCGACCCAATTTCAAACCCTACCCATCCTCTTTCCCCACCTTCAACCGTTTGTCCTTTGGAAAACCTATTTTGTTTATTTTTTCTTATTTTTTGTTAGATAATTTTATTTTACTTTTGCTTTATTTTGTTCGATAAATAGGCCCCATTCATTTGCTATGCGAGGAAAACCTAATTTGAACGATCTAGTATATGGGGTTTCTTGATCTTAGAATTGGATATTTTTTAGTGCAATAAATTGAGGCCTTTATAACAATGTGGGATTGCTTGAATATGGCTTGTTGATACTTCCTATTATTGGTTCTTTGTATTTGTCCATGTAAAAAGATTTTTTTGAAAGTTTTTTCAAAAAAAATGTCTTTATACACTCTTTTTAAATTTTATTTTTCAAAAAACCCGGTGTTTTAAAATATATTAGTAGTAACAAAAACCTAGTTATTATATCTTCTAAGCCTCTATACCAATTTTAACCTCTTTTACTCCATCTTTTCCCTACGATTCTCCCAACTTTTCCCTCTTCCCTATTTTCCCCAAACCTACCGCAAGTTAGAGATTTTACCGCATCAAAGGAGATTAGCTTGGACATGGCAGCAGCCTTTAAAGAGTAGAGCACGATATTGAAAACAAACGAACCAGACACGTTAATTGATAAAATCTCATCATAGGGGACTAGCTAGGACATGGCAGCAGCCATTAAAGACTAGAGCATTGTAACGAGAACAACCTAACCAGACATACCAATGGGATATCTTTAAGAGGATCCCTCACCTC